TACTATTCTAGTTAAGGCTAGACCCAGTTTGTCGATGTTTTTGGAGTGTTAAAAGCGCTGGCATGCTGAAATATAAAACATGCGATATCAACGGCATTGCTGAACACCCCTGTAACTCGGTCTTTAAAGCTGTCACAAAGTGGAGGATATCAACAAACACACATATGTACAAACATACATAATATCTTACGATCAACTACAGCCAGTATTTCGATCAACTACACAACACCTCAATACAAACCATCCTAAAATCAACTACAGACCCACTTACGATCAACTACAGCCAGTATTTCGATCAACTACACAACACCTCACTACAAACCATCCTAAAATCAACTACAGACCCACTTACGATCAACTACAGCCAGTATTTCGATCAACTACACAACACCTCACTACAAACCATCCTAAAATCAACTACAGAGCCACTTACGATCAACTACAGCCAGGATTTCGATCAACTACACAACACCTCACTACAAACCATCCTAAAATCAACTACAGACCCACTTACGATCAACTACAGCCAGTATTTCGATCAACTACACAACACCTCACTACAAACCATCCTAAAATCAACTACAGACCCACTTACGATCAACTACAGACAGTATTTCGATCAACTACACAACACCTCACTACAAACCATCCTAAAATCAACTACAGACCCACTTACGATCAACTACAGCCAGTATTTCGATCAACTACACAACACCTCACTACAAACCATCCTAAAATCAACTACAGACCCACTTACGATCAACTACAGCCAGTATTTCGATCAACTACACAAACACCTCACTACAAACCATCCCTAAAATCAACTACAGACCCACTTACGATCAACTACAGCCAGTATTTCGATCAACTACACAACACCTCACTACAAACCATCCTAAAATCAACTACAGACCCACTTACGATCAACTACAGACAGTATTTTGATCAACTACACAACACCTCACTACAAACCATCCTAAAATCAACTACAGAACCACTTACAATCAACTACAGCCAGTATTTCGATCAACTACACAACACCTCACTACAAACCATCCTAAAATCAACTACAGACCCACTTACAATCAACTACAGACAGTATTTCGATCAACTACACAACACCTCACTACAAACCATCCTAAAATCAACTACAGACCCACTTACAATCAAACTACAGCCAGTATTTCGATCAACTACACAACACCTCACTACAAACCATCCTAAAATCAACTACAGACCCACTTACAATCAACTACAGACAGTATTTCGATCAACTACACAACACCTCACTACAAACCATCCTAAAATCAACTACAGACTCACTTACAATCAACTACAGCCAGTATTTCAATCAACTACACAACACCTCACTACAAACCATCCTAAAATCAACTACAGACCCACTTACAATCAACTACAGCCAGTATTTCGATCAACTACACAACACCTCACTACAAACCATCCTAAAATCAACTACAGACCCACTTACAATCAACTACAGCCAGTATTTCGATCAACTACACAACACCTCACTACAAACCATCCTAAAATCAACTACAGACCCACTTACAATCAACTACAGCCAGTATTTCGATCAACTACACAACACCTCACTACAAACCATCTTAAAATCAACTACAGACCCACTTACAATCAACTACAGCCAGTATTTCGATCAACTACACAACACCTCACTATAAACCATCCTAAAATCAACTACAGACCCACTTACAATCAACTACAGCCAGTATTTCGATCAACTACACAACACCTCACTACAAACCATCCTAAAATCAACTACAGACTCACTTACGATCAACTACAGCCAGTATTTCGATCAACTACGCAACACCTCACTACAAACCATCCTAAAATCAACTACAGACTCACTTACAATCAACTACAGACAGTATTTCGATCAACTACACAACACCTCACTACAAACCATCCTAAAATCAACTACAGACCCACTTACAATCAACTACAGCCAGTATTTCGATCAACTACACAACACCTCACTACAAACCATCCTAAAATCAACTACAGACTCACTTACAATCAACTACAGCCAGTATTCGATCAACTACACAACACCTCACTACAAACCATCCTAAATCAACTACAGACTCACTTACAATCAACTACAGCCAGTATTTCGATCAACTACACAACACACTCACTACAACCATCCTAAAATCAACTACAGACCCACTACAATCAACTACAGCCAGTATTTCGATCAACTACACAACACCTCACTACAAAACCATCCTAAAATCAACTACAGACCCACTTACAATCAACTACAGCCAGTATTTCGATCAACTACACAACACCTCACTACAAACCATCCTAAAATCAACTACAGACCCACTTACAATCAACTACAGCCAGTATTCGATCAACTACACAAACACCTCACTACAAACCATCCTAAAATCAACTACAGACTCACTTACAATCAACTACAGCCAGTATTTCGATCAACTACACAACACCTCACTACAAACCATCCTAAAATCAACTACAGACTCACTTACAATCAACTACAGCCAGTATTTCGATCAAACTACACAAACACCTCACTACAAACCATCCTAAAATCAATACAGACCCACTTACGATCAACTACAGCCAGTATTTCGATCAACTACACAACACCTCACTACAAACCATCCTAAAATCAACTATAGACTCACTTACGATCAACTACAGCCAGTATTTCGATCAACTACACAACACCTCACTACAAACCATCCTAAAATCAACTACAGACCCACTTACGATCAACTACAGCCAGTATTTCGATCAACTACACAACACCTCACTACAAACCATCCTAAAATCAACTACAGACTCACTTACAATCAACTACACATCACATTACAATCAACTAGAAACCACTTTACAATCAATTACAAATGACTTTACAATCAACTACAAAACACCTTATAATGAATTACACACAACCTTACAATCAACTACCGACTACAGTGAAACCTCGCTTAACGAGCATAACTCGTTCCAGAATCATGCTTGTAAAGCGAAACACTCGTTATGCGAAACAATTTTTCTCATATAAATTAATGTAAAATACGATAATGCATCGCATGTTGAAAAAAAAATACTCACAAAATGTTATGTATATCGTTTATTCAAAGAAAATTATATACATATTGTTAAGGAGAGTGAATCATCTTCATCTTTTCTTCCACTGGAATGCGAATATGGAAGTGATTTTTTCCAAAACTCTTTGAGAGTACAATCGACTACAGACCACTTTACACTTGACTGCAAACCACTTTACAATTGACTGCAGATCACTTTACACTGGACTGCAAACCACTTTACAATTGACTGCAGACCACTTTACAATCAACTACAGACCACTTTGCAATCAACTGGAGACCACCTTACAATCAATTGCAGACCACCTTACAATCAACTGCAGACCACCTTACAATCAACTACAGACCACCTTACAATCAACTACAGACCACTTTACAATCAACTACAGACCACTTTAAAATCAACTACATACCACTTTACAATCAACTACAGACCACTTTACAATCAACTACATACCACTTTACAATCAACTACAGACCACTTTACAATCAACTACAGACCACTTTACAATCAACTACAGATCACTTTACAATCAACTACAGACCACTTTAAAATCAACTACAGACCACTTTAAAATCAAAATCAACTACAGACCACTTTACAATCAACTACCAGACCACTTTAAAATCAACTACATACCACTTTACAATCAACCACAGACCACTTTACAATCAACTACATACCACTTTACAATCAACTACAGACCACTTTACAATCAACTACAGACCACTTTACAATCAACTACAGATCACTTTACAATCAACTACAGACCACTTTAAAATCAACTACATACCACTTTACAATCAACTACAGACCACTTTACAATCAACTACAGACCACTTTAAAATCAACTACATACCACTTTACAATCAACTACAGACCACTTTACAATCAACTACAGACCACTTTACAGTCAACTGCAGACCACTTAACAATTGACTACAGACCACTTTACAATCAACTACATACCACTTTACAATCAACTACAGACCACTTTACAATCAACTACAGACCACTTTACAATCAACTACAGATCACTTTACAATCAACTACAGACCACTTTAAAATCAACTACATACCACTTTACAATCAACTACAGACCACTTTACAGTCAACTACAGATCACTTTACAATTAACTACAGACCACTTTACAGTCAACTACAGACCACTTTACAGTCAACTACAGATCACTTTACAATTAACTACAGACCACTTTACAATTGACTGCAAACCACTTTACAATCCACTACACACCACTTTACAATTGACTACAGACCACCTTACAATCAACAACAGATTACCCTAAAATCAACTACAGACCACTTTGCAATTGACTACAGACCACTTTACAAATGACTACAGACCACTTTACAATTGACTACAGACAACTTTACAATCGACTGCAGACCACTTTACTATCAACAACAGACCACTTTACAACTGACTACAGACCACTTTACAATCAACAACAGACCACTTTACAATCTGACTACAGACCACTTTACAATTGACAACAGACCACTTTACAATCAACTACAGACCACTTTACAATTGGCTACAGACCACTTTACAATCAACTACAGATCCCTTTACAATAAAATACAGACCACTTTACAATCAACCACAAATTATCTTAGAATCAACTACAGACCACCTTGCAATCACCTTATAATCAATTACAAACCATTTTACAAATATAGACCACTTTACAATCAATGATATGTTGTGGTACAACCAACTACAGATGACCTTACAATCAATGATAAGTTGTGGTACAACCAACTTCAGATGATCTTACAATCATTGATAAGTTGTGGTACAAACAACTACAAATGACCTCACAATCAATGATAAGTTGTGGTATAACCAACTACAGACGACTCTTCTCCAAGTAGCCATCGAAGACAAGGTCCATGTTGCCCTTAAGAGATCTCTCAGTAAAGTTGCCATTCTTTCCATGAGTACACAAAGGAGACAAATCCTTCTCGCACCACCTGTACAAAATTATGCCAGTCATCACAGTAAATCAAAAAGTTTCAAACTAAATAAGTTGGTGAAACAATTTCCAGAATTTATGGGAAGAAAAAGTTGATGAGGAAAAAAGAACTGACTAATCCGTTGCGTATATGATTGTCTAGAATATGTGAATCCTAGTGTTTCATACTTTGATGACAGTATCCGCTATAGAACTGCTTTTACCTTTTTCCCATGTGAATGACTTATCTATGTGTTTGTGTTCATTTATTTTTGTTAAGCAAGAGTCTTGTTGTATTAACTGATTAAGACTCTTGTAAAACTGCTTGTTTTTATATGTGTGCCTTGACCTCAAGTCGTCTGACTATGGAGGTGATGGCGGTAACAAAAGCAATGATGTGGCTAGAGACAGGCCATTTTCCCCAAGCATCCTTTTTAAATGATTCCATGAGCATGCTTTGGAAGATAGAGACAGGATGGATTCAAAGAAAATGGTTAGAGTTGCTGAGGAAATATAGTCTGAAAGGAGTTAGTTTCAGTTTTGTGCTAGGGAACTCTGGGGTAAGAGGGAATGAACGAGCAGATTGGCTTGCTGGCACAGTAGGTACAAGAAAAGCAATTTACCGGGCCGATATAATCAATGCTCTCCAGGAGGGAGGAGGAGAAGATGTTTTAGGAGACGATATTGAACCGGCAACACTCAAAAAAGACTACAAGAGCTTCAGGTAAAAAAAAGGTGTCACCAAACATGAACACGAATGAACGAATAAACAAACTTTATTTTCAAAGGGTCACAAATTGGGCACGCAGGCCCATCTTACATTCGGCCCTTTCAAACAAACACAGACAATCACATACAGCCATATACACACAGACATAAACACAGAGACACATATGCAGACACACACAGAGAAACACATACACACACACACATATAGGCACACACACACACAGATATAAACAGACTCACAAGCATGAAAAGACACACACAAATACACACAGACAAATACTCAGACACATACACACAGAAACACACATGCAAACAAACACAGGCACACACACACACATAGACACACACATGCAGACACACAGGCAGACAAACACACACACAGACACATACACACAGACATAAATGTAGACACACATACATACACACATTCACAAGCACACACACAGACACACACACACAGATACTCTGACAGACACGCACAAACACACAGGCACTCATGCAGACACACACACTGACACACACCACACACAAACACACAGGCACTCATGCAGACACACACACACTGACACACACCACACACAAACACACACAAGACACTCATGCTGAGACACACACACGGACACACGCATACACACATTTACACAACAAAGAGACACATACAAACACACACGCATACGTAGAGACAGTCACATACACACACACAGAGACTCACACAGACACACACAGACTCATACAGACACACCCACAGACAGACATGCAGATACACAGCCCCATATGCACACAGACACACACTGATACACACACAACTTATACAATTACCCATATACATACACAGAATCATACACACACAAACACACTTAAACACACATACCACAAATAAACATGTCATACATACAGGCATACATACATATCATATACACCTTGTTTGATTATAAACTGATTATGCAATATGGAATATTAACTACATTTACTGTGGCATGTAATCACTTGTAAGCATGAACTAAAATAGTTGTGGTTAAAATAAGAACTCTTTGTAATTTTGTTCAGATCAAGTGGAGGATGGTTCCATAAATAAGCAGCAGAAAAACTAAACTTTTTTATATAAATGTATTCTAGGTTTTAGGCAAATGTTATAAACTTCAGTCGCTTGCTATATGTAGAATTTGATTTAATCAACTGGAAAAGGTAATTTGGAGCATTCTGAGATAGGATTTTGTGAATGAATTTGGCCTTGTTAAAAATTGAACGTTTGCTAAATGGCAGAAGTCTTAAATGTCCGTATAAAAGATTTTCTTCAACGTAATTTTTATCAGAGACTAGGCGTAAGGCCCAATTTTGTAGAGAGCACCACTGTTTGAAGTTAAATTTGGAGCAACCCTCCCAGATTGTGGAAAAATAGTCAATATGCAATTGGATATTTTGCGAAGTTGACAAACTTTTTGCGCTATTTTTCTATTTATTGCATGAACATGGGAACTCCAAGTTAAATAAATGGTTATCAATTAAAACACCTAATGTTTATAACACTATACAGGTAGCCTAAGAAGAATAGTAAACCAACAGAGAAGTGGCTTTATCAGTCGTCACACTCTGAGGGATATACTGAAGATGGAACCTAAGCCCTTATGGACTTGTCAGATGTGCAGTAAAAGAAATGTGGGCATCACAAAATAATATTCTCTAAGTTATCAGTGGCTAACTGCAGGAGACTATATAATGTTCCCTAAGTTATCAGTGGCTAACTGCAGGAGACTATATAATGTTCCCTAAGTTATCAGTGGCTAACTGCAGGAGACTATATAATGTTCCCTTAGTTATCAGTGGCTAACTGCAGGAGACTATATAATGTTCCCTTAGTTATCAGTGGCTAACTGCAGGAGACTATATAATGTTCCCTTAGTTATCAGTGGCTAACTGCAGGAGACTATATAATGTTCCCTTAGTTATCAATGGCTAACTGCAGGAGACTATATAATGTTAAAATCATTTTTATTTAGAGTTTTTAGTTGAGTCAAGAATTGTCATCACCACATTTGGGGCATTCCCAAGCATGCTGCGTTCTATCTTCAGCAGCTTGTGCAGAGTTCCAATACTGATGGTACCAGTCAAAATCTGGTTATATGTCCGTCTTGCCTTTCCTCTGAGTGTAGTGAGCCAGCCAGACCCTCTGGTTACACCAAGGTGCCTCATTCTCTCCAGACCATAATCTTTTTTATTTAACGTTTCCCTAAAGATTCTGCATTCTTCTTAACTTACAGACACAGCATGTGTTAAGCTATATAACAGTGACAGAATCAGTAAACCAACACAGAACTGGGGTGTTATTCAGTCGCCATGTTGCTGCAAGGATATACTGAAGGTGGGATCCGAGCACTTGTCTGATGTGTGGTGAGGATTTCGTGTCAATTAACTAACTATTTCTATGGACAGAACAGTAAACCAACACATGACTGGTGTTATTTGTCACCATGTTGCTGAGAGAGGGGATCCAAGCACTTACGGACTTGTCTGATGTTCAATGAGGATAATCTGTCCATTAACTAAGTAACCGGCTGACTAACTAACTATTTCTAAGGAAAACTCACCTTTGAGCTGTGTACACATCTGATGGGGTAGCTTCATGGTGGGCTGCATGTTCAAGCAACAAAGCACCTGGAAATGTTAGCAGTTATAAATTAATGTTGTGTCTGTACATATATTTCTGATTAACCTGCAGAGCTTTGCAGTCACATAAATATATATGTATGTATGTATGTATGTATATATATAAATAAATAAATAAATATATATATATATATATATATATATATATATATATATATATGTGTGTGTGTGTGTGCATGTGCGCATAAGTGCGTGTGCGTGCGTGTGTGTATATATATATATATATATATATATTGTGCGTGTGTGTGTGTGTGCATGTGCGCGTAAGTGTGTGCGTGTGTGTGCGTGCGTGTGTATATATATATATATATATATTGTGCGTGTGTGGGTGCGTGCGTGTGTGTGTGTGTGTGCATGTGCGCGTAAGTGTGTGTGCGTGCGTGTATATATATATATTGTGCGTGTGTGTGTGTGCATGTGCGCGTAAGTGTGTGTGCGTGTGTGTATATATATATATTGTGTGTGTGTGTGTGTACGCGCGCGCACGCCTACATGCGTATGTGTGGGGAAGACTATGTTCTAGAAATAATTAAGAGTCTTTTTTCTTCAGATGGGGGAGCGACAGAGGAAAATAAGGCGGAGAAAAAGAAGAAGAAGAAGAAAGTGGAAGAGCAAAAGAAAAAGAAAGAAGAGGAGGGGCAGAAGAAATAAGATGCAGCATTAGCAGCAGCAGAGGATAAAGAAGAAGGAGAAGAAAGGAAGAGGAGAGAGCCACAGAAGAAATGGAACTGAAGAAAAAAAAAAGAGATGAAGTAGGAGATGTAACAGCAATAACAACAACAACAATAAATCAAAGAGAATGAGGAAAAGACAAATGAAGAAGAAATAACAAAAAAAAAAAAACAAAAATTATTTTTGAAGTAGAGACTGTAGATTTTAAAATGTCAGAGCTTAGTATTCTAGTGGCTCAGTAAATCTGTTCTTTATGTTAATGAGCTTCAATATTGTTACATCCATTACAACTTCTATCCAATGTCACACAATACCTGCCTATTTATCTATCTCTAACACAATACTTCTGTCAGCTATTTGTTATCAGTTGCAAGCATGGGCACAAACCAACTTTTCTTGGCAGGTAGATGGGTAGGTGGGTTGAGAAGTGAGTATGTGGGTAGACAGGCAGATAGACACACAGGCAGGGATGGATGGATGGATGGATGGATGGAGAGAAGGACAGTGAGAAATGCAGACAGATATACAGAAAGGTAGGTAAGTAGATGTAAACTGGATGTTAGATATACAGACACAGAGACAAACAGACAGATGAAGAGAGATTACACAGACAGGCAGATACAAGGATACATGCATAGACAGGCAGATAGACAAACAGGCAGGGCTGGCTGAATAGAGAGGAGGACAGATGCAAACAGATATACAGAAAGGTAGGTAAGCAGATGTTAACTGGATGTTAGATATACAGACAAAGAGACAAACAGACAGATGAAGAGAGATCACACAGACAGGCAGATACAAGGATACATGCATAGACAAGCAGATAGACAAACAGGCAGGGCTGGCTGAATAGAGAGGAGGACAGATGCAAACAGATATACAGAAAGGTAGGTAAGCAGATGTTAACTGGATGTTAGATATACAGACAAAGAGACAAACAGACAGATGAAGAGAGATCACACAGACAGGCAGATACAAGGATACATGCATAGACAGGCAGGTAGACAGATAAATATAGTCAGACAGAAAGACAGATCAACTGGCAGATTTCTTCAAAAACTTAGCTTCTTACCCATGTATATCCTGGCCAAACTGTAAGCAAACTCCCTAGCTGACATCTCGACACTGCTCTGAGGTAGGCTGGTGGCAAACTGCAAGACATCCTTCACAGCGTTCTCCACCCTATAGGCTGACTCATGCAGACCCTGGCACTCCATTGCTGGGCCGATACGTACCATGACGCTGTTGCGGAAATGGTTCAACACGGATCCTGCTGATTTATGTACAGCCCGGAGGACATCCAGTGACAGGATGTTTGTTGTTCCCTCCCAAATAGCATTGACCTGGGGGAGAAGAGAAATAAATGTGTATCTGAACTTTTTAGTCTCGCAAGTCATAGCTCAAGTCTGAGGGAGTCTGGAATGGCCAATACTAAACTCGTCGGTATACTACATAAACAGGGGCCAAATATACAACTCTTGCAGGAAACAAATATGTTGTCAGAGTTCTTTACCTTTGGTCACTAAACGTAAGATGCAGATACATAAATAACATGTTGACTGGTGCACGTGAAAAATACCCAGCTATGCAGAGTGCGTCATTTGGGGGACACACACACACACAAAAAACAATTAAGGCAGTTCTGTATTGCCCTTGTCATTACTGCCTGTATGTACCACTTCTTAGGACAGTGTAAGACTAGGGGTCCTGATTTAGAACCGTCAGTCGCCATGAACTGTGCAGCTCAGGAGGTTTATTTTTACCTCCAATAGAAGAAATAAATCTCCATCACTTTACCAAGCACTCAAACCCTGGTAGTGTCAAAAATGGTAAATTAATACCAAACACAGGGAGCTGGAATTTTTATTCCAGTATGGGTTTCAGGTTTTCCATTTTGGGAAAGAAACAAAAAGCCCCCACCCCCACACACAAGAAGCGTGTCATAAGAGTTAACTAAATAGGGGTGTTTTCTTCAAAGTCGGTGTGCATCTGCCTGAAAGACGAGGAACCTACAGACTGCATACAAATAAGCCAGATCTGGAAAATGAATGTACACGCAAATCTCATATTCTGCAACAAGATTAAAGTCCAGAAGTGATTAAACAAGCAGAGCTTTCCACTGGAATTTACAACCAGTGAATGTGAAGAAGAAGAAGGAATTGGTTGTCTCAGTAAGAATGATTTGTTATATAGGTTTGAACTACATGATAAAAATGTATTGTTCATTGAAATAACATTTGTAAGATTAACAATAGTTTCTTGTATAGAAGATTTATATTTATCAGAAAGATTTGTTTTTTTGACAACATTAAAGTTAGTTGTGTCTCCTTTGGCTGGCTCTTGTCACACACTGTCAAAATCAGAGTGGTCTGCTGCAGGTTTCACAACAGGAGTCACAGACTACTCAGATGTTCTCTCTGAATTGTCCTACCTGGGTGTCCCTCAGTATCCTTGGCAAATCTGTGTCCTCAATGTAACCCTGTCCTCCGAAACTTTCCAGAGCTTCAGAGACAACCGCAACAGCCTGCAGGAAGACAACAACAATCTGTGCTCAACAAAACTAACATCATGCTCTCTGGCAACCACATGGGTTCCAGACCCAAAAAAAAAAAAGAAGGCAAGAATTGTCCATGTTCACCATGTCTAATTGTTTTATATGGATGTAAGAGTTGGATTCTCACTGTGGAAATAGAAAGGAGGATTCAGGCTTTTGATGTAAATGTGTCCAAACAGGTTAGTAAAGTAAAGAAAAGTAAAGGCGCAGTTTCTATGCCTTTAGGCGTATAGGGCATATAGGGCTAGACCTATATTTTTATAGACAAAGGGCATAATATGGGTGATGTGGTCAGCATAACGCCGGCCATCTTAACTTCCCTGGGCTGCACCGGTACTCACTCAAAGCTGGGTTGACCTGGAAGTCAAGGTCATTTTTTTTTTAAAGTCCGGCTCCGCCAGGGAGCGAACCCACTACCTTCGGATCCACGTGCGAGCATCTAGCCGCTACGCCATGGAGATTCCTAATAGTGTACAGGGCTTGGACCAATTGATTTGGAAAGTCAAAAAGTACAGTAAAGATGGGAATCTTTTTCTGAATTTTAAGAAAACATTTCCTCAATGAATACAGCAGACCACCAATGATTTAAATCAATAACAAAGAAATAAAAAATGTCACAGATTTTGAATATTTGGGCTCAATAGTGAATAACAATGGCAACTGTACACAAAAAGTCAGAAAAATTCTTGCTTTATCAATGCAGAGGTTAAACAGCATGAAGAGCCTTTGGCATAGCATCTCTAAGCAGGTCAAAGTAACATTCTGAGATCATTCATTTCTCCTGTGGTAACTTGTGGTTGTGAGTCATGGTCTCTTACTCAATCTTTGAGGAAAACTGAAGTGCTAAATAAAAATTATTAGAATATCATGGCATGGAAGATCATCTGTGTCAGAAGTACACGAGGCAGAAAGTTGGGGATGGACATGACTACCAACAACACATGGCATCATTTAGAATATCATGGCATGGAAGATCATCTGTGTCAGAAGTACACGAGGCAGAAAGTTGGGGATGGACATGACTACCAACAACACATGGCATCATTTAGAATATCATGGCATGGAAGATCATCTGTGTCAGAAGTACACAAGGCAGAAAGTTGGGGATGGACATGACTACCAACAACACATGGCATCATTTAGAATATCATGGCATGGAAGATCATCTGTGTCAGAAGTACACAAGGCAGAAAGTTGGGGATGGACATGACTACCAACAACACATGGCATCATTTAGAATATCATGGCATGGAAGATCATCTGTGTCAGAAGTACACGAGGCAGAAAGTTGGGGATGGACATGACTACCAACAACACATGGCATCATTTAGAATATCATGGCATGGAAGATCATCTGTGTCAGAAGTACACAAGGCAGAAAGTTGGGAATGGACATGACTACCAACAACACATGGCATCATTTAGAATATCATGGCATGGAAGATCATCTGTGTCAGAAGTACACAAGGCAGAAAGTTGGGGATGGACATGACTACCAACAACACATGGCATCATTTAGAATATCATGGCATGGAAGATCATCTGTGTCAGAAGTACACAAGGCAGAAAGTTGGGGATGGACATTACTACCAACAACACATGGCATCATTTAGAATATCATGGCATGGAAGATCATCTGTGTCAGAAGTACACGAGGCAGAAAGTTGGGGATGGACATGACTACCAACAACACATGGCATCATTTAGAATATCATGGCATGGAAGATCATCTGTGTCAGAAGTACACAAGGCAGAAAGTTGGGGATGGACATTACTACCAACAACACATGGCATCATTTAGAATATCATGGCATGGAAGATCATCTGTGTCAGAAGTACACAAGGCAGAAAGTTGGGGATGGACATGACTACCAACAACACATGGCATCATTTAGAATATCATGGCATGGAAGATCATCTGTGTCAGAAGTACACAAGGCAGAAAGTTGGGGATGGACATTACTACCAACAACACATGGCATCATTTAGAATATCATGGCATGGAAGATCATCTGTGTCAGAAGTACACAAGGCAGAAAGTTGGGGATGGACATGACTACCAACAACACATGGCATCATTTAGAATATCATGGCATGGAAGATCATCTGTGTCAGAAGTACACGAGGCAGAAAGTTGGGGATGGACATTACTACCAACACCACACGGCATAAACTTTAAGAAGAAGAAGAATTCCGTGGACCAAGAAGAAGAAAAACACTGACATCCACTCCAACATGACCTGAGCCTCAAGGAGAATTGGCTCACAAACAGCATTCTGTCCTGGAAGCTGAGATCCTTTGGCCATGCTAAACGTCATGGTGACCTGGAGATAACAGTGAAGGAGGATACAATTGCTGGAAAACAAAGCAGAGGTAGACCTCTGCGAATGTGGATACAAGACAGTGAAGATGGACTGGCTATGGCACACAATGATTACCATATTATGGACAGACCACAGCAAGTCATTATTCTACACCTTAAAATAGGGCACCATCGACTTCGCAGCCACATGTACACCAGATTTAAGATTTGATAATCAGCCATGTGCACATGTAGACTGGTACCTGCGACAACAAATCACGCCCTCCAAGACTGTCCCAAATACAACATATCAAGGCAAAATTTCTAACGAAGACAAACATCGTGCAAGCCAAACTTTACAGGTCACAGAATGAATTACAACAGATAGTGAAGTTTATACTACAGACAACATTGCAGATATAAATCATCTATTTTGGGCAAATGAAAGAAGAAGAAGAATACTGGCTATAAAAGCACATAGGGCTGGAGAACTGGCTAGAGGAAGAGAGACTTTCAGGCGTGCCATGAAGAGAGTGACATTCTGTAAAGGACCTGCTGACTGACGATGACTGGAACTGTTGGTATTAAAACTGCACTGGCTACTGAAGATGAGAATGAGCATTTATGAGAATGCCCTAAGTGCTGTGATATCAGCTGTACTCAACAAGCAGTATCATGATCACATTTTGTTATATTCTCTGAATGTATTATTTTTAGCTTCTTTTACTAACCTGTAGTGAGTCACCGTGGCGGAGCGGCTAGACGCTTGCCTGCGGATTGGCAGGTCGTGGGTTGCTTCCTGGTGGGGCCAGATAAAAAAAAAATGACCTTGACTCCCATGTCGACCCAGCCTTGACTGGGTACCAGGTGCAGTTCCGGGAAGTAAAGGTGGCCGGCATGATGCTGACCACATCACCGATCTTGTGTCGATTGGTCTTACTTACTTCACTAACCTGTTTGGATACATACAATTTTGCTAGTGGAACTAGCAATCGCAGAACTTCATTTTCAGCGGCCAGTGTGTTGTCCATGGACAAGACTTCCTGCCTGCCCAGCAGACGAGAAATCTCTAAAACAAAGATGGCGGCCGCCCTGGTCTCCACCTCCATGCCTGCCAGGGTGTGCATGTGCAAGGGGTGTCTGTTTAGCATCTTTCCGAAGGCTTTTCGTCTTGTGGCGTAATCTCTCGCCAGGTTGACTATTCTGGAGACAAAATTGAGACCAGATTCTTATACGAACTCTTTTCAATAGCTTCTCCCATATCAGAAACTTGAAAAGAAAAAAAAAACATTGTTAGCATAAATTATGTGCAAAAGGTGGGGCTAAAGAAGGCCCTAGTCCAGGAAAAGAAGCCTCAGGCCTGGAAACTCCCGGCCAAATCAAGATTAACACTTGACCTACTAACGACAATCCCAAGGTTTAGTGTTTAGTGTGGTTTGTGCCAAAAAATTAGAATGACTGAACAATGCTTTGACAGTGCAAGAGTGTGAACGAAGGATGAGATATGGGACAGAAACCAGGATCATATTGTGTGTAGTGCTTGAATGAGACAAGTAGAGTCAACGATGAAAAAACTGTGTGTGAGTAACAGATATGTGATAAAACGTTTTATTATTTGTTCAAGTTTAAACACAACTTCCTAAAGAAATCTGGATTTTCTTGTGGCCAGTTACATGTAATTAGTAGCAAACTACAAACATTAACTATTTTGTGTCTGCCCAGAAGGTGGGGGGGGGGGGAATTAAATGGTGTGATAGAATCACTTATGTGGAGCTTTGAGAAAGAACTAAACAAGTTCCACTGAATCAGCAGATTAGGAAACAAATGCTAGAGTTGACCTAACTAATAACAAAACACCTAGTATGTCCTTGTACGTAACCTGACAGGGTAAAAGGAATAAAGGCAGACACACACACAAAACACACTGGAAAAGAAAATATGTAGTAAATGGATAGATATAACAACAGTTTTCTCAATGCTTAGTCTTTAAAGGCTAAGATGGTTAGGACGCACCTGGAGGATGGAGAACAGCAGAGTCCCTTTGGACATCCTTTCTGGTGAATTACAGATCAAATGGTTAGGTCATCTAGTAAGAATGCAGCCAGAACAACTACCAATGCAGGCGCTACACATGAAAAGATCTGAAGTGAAAGCCAGTGGCTGCCCTAGGAGAAGATGGACTGATGACATTAAAGAGCTTCTACATCGACATGGAACGACAACTGCCAACGCTGCTCATCAAGCAATGGATCGCAAACTGTTCCTCCCCACCATGCTTCACAGCAGATGTGGAAACTGATGAGGACGATAATGACAAATGGGTTCAAGACGTTGAGGTCAGCCTCTACACTGATATAAAGATGTGTGCAAGCGGGACATGAAAGATACAGGTACTGATATGGATTCATAGAAATAGGCTGCTATGGACAGTACTCCAAGGAGGGAAGAAATAAAAAAAAAAGGAGGGAACTGGGAGAAAAGAGAAAATGACTGCAGACAGGTTAAGAGCAAGGTGCCTAAAAACAAGATAGATTGAACATCTGTGATGGCAACAATGGTCCTGAATGTGTGTGTTTTTTTTTTAAAAACCCCATGCTCTAATTATGAATGGAAACATAAGTACTCGGGTGCAAACACCCAACTGTTGTGTCAAGGAGCTGTTTACTGCATGTCAAGGAGCTGTTTACTGCAGGTCAAGGAGCTGTTTACTACATGTCAAGGAGCTGTATATTACATGTCAAGGAGCTGTATATTACATGTCAAGGAGCTGTAAATTACATATCAAGGAGCTGTTTACTGCATGTCAAGGAGCTGTTTACTACATGTCAAGGATCTGTATATTACATGTCAAGGAGCTGTATATTACATGTCAAGGAGCTGTTTATTACATGTCAAGGAGCTGTTTACTGCATGTCAAGGAGCTGTATATTACATGTCAAGGAGCTGTTTACTGCATGTCAAGGAGCTGTTTACTACATGTCAAGGAGCTGTATATTACATGTCAAGGAGCTGTTTATTACATGTCAAGGAGCTGTTTACTGCATGTCAAGGAGCTGTATATTACATGTCAAGGAGCTGTTTACTGCATGTCAAGGAGCTGTTTACTGCATGTCAAGGAGCTGTATATTACATGTCAAGAAGCTGTTTACTGCATGTCAAGGAGCTGTACATTACATGTCAAGGAGCTGTTTACTGCATGTCAAGGAGCTGTTTACTGCATGTCAAGGAGCTGTATATTACATGTCAAGGAGCTGTTTACTGCATGTCAAGGAGCTGTTTACTGCATGTCAAGGAGCTGTTTACTACATGTCAAGGAGCTGTATATTACATGTCAAGGAGCTGTTTACTGCATGTCAAGGAGCTGTTTACTGCATGTCAATGAGCTGTTTACTGCATGTCAAGGAGCTGTTTACTGCATGTCAAGGAGCTGTTTACTGCATGTCAAGGAGCTGTTTACTGCATGTCAAGGAGCTGTTTACTACATGTCAAGGAGCTGTATATTACATGTCAAGGAGCTGTTTACTGCATGTCAAGGAGCTGTTTACTGCATGTCAAGGAGCTGTTTACTGCATGTCAAGGAGCTGTATATTACATGTCAAGGAGCTGTTTACTACATGTCAAAGAACTGTTTATTACATGTCAAGGAGCTGTTTACAATATATCAAGGAGCTGTTTACTACATGTCAAGGAGCTGTTTATTACATGTCAAGGAGCTGTTTACTGCATGTCAAGGAGCTGTTTACTACATGTCAAGGAGCTGTTTATTACATGTCAAGGAGCTGTTTACTACATGTCAAGGAGCTGTTTACTGCATGTCAAGGAGCTGTATATTACATATCAAGGAGCTGTATATTACATGTCAAGGAGCTGTTTACTACATGTCAAGGAGCTGTATATTACATGTCAAGGAGCTGTTTACTGCATGTCAAGGAGCTGTTTACTGCATGTCAAGGAGCTGTTTACTGCATGTCAAGGAGCTGTTTACAGCATGTCAAGGAACTGTTTACTGCATGTCAAGGAACTGTTTACTGCATGTCAAGGAGCTGTTTACTACATGTCAAGGAACTGTTTATTACATGTCAAGGAGCTGTTTACTGCATGTCAAGGAGCTGTTTACTGCATGTCAAGGAGCTGTATATTACATGTCAAGGAGCTGTTTACTACATGTCAATGAGCTGTTGATTACATGTCAAGGAGCTGTTGATTACATGTCAATGAGCTGTTTACTACATGTCAATGAGCTGTTTATTGCATGTAAAGGAGTTGTTTACTACATGTCAATGAGCTGTTTACTGCATGTCAAGGAGCTGTTTATTGCATGTAAAGGAGCTGTTTACTACATGTCAATTAGCTGTTTATTGCATGTAAAGGAGTTGTTTTTTACATGTCAATGAGCTGTTTACTGCATGTCAAGGAGCTGTTTACTGCATGTCAAGGAGCTGTTTACTACATGTCAAGGAGCTGTTTACTGCATGTCAAGGAGCTGTTTACTGTATGTAAAGGAGCTGTTTACTGCATGTCTAGGAGCTGTTTACTACATGTCAAGGAGCTGTTTACTACATGTCAAGGAGCTGTTTACTACTCAAGCAGGAGAACATGTTATCATGTTAAAACCTTATTACCAAGGGAATGAGGAACACCATAAACAACTATTGAACCCTCTCAGTCGACAATGCAGTCTCAATACTGACAGTACTAGTTATCATCAGTCAGCAAGTCTTTTACAGAACGTCTCTCTTTTCATGGCACGCCCGAAAGTCTCTCTTTCTCCAGCCAGTCCTCAGCCCCATGTGCTTTTATAGCCAATGTTATTCTCCTTTTTCTTCGTTCACCCAAAATAGAAAAATAGATTATCTATAACTGCTATGTTGTCTCTAGTATGAACTTCACTGTCTTTTGTAATTCACTCAGCGACCCATACAATTTTGCTTCAACCAGTGTTTCTCTTGGCCAGAAGTTTTACCTTGATACATTGTATTTTTCTAGTAGCTTGTAGTCAGGTAAATGAACCAAAAGATATCCCTTCAGATAAACAGATCCTTATACCTATAATTAATTCAAGTAGTTCATAGCAAGAAAGAGAAAATATCTGAGAAATTGCCACTTTTACATAAAATTAACATCATTGAATGACTCAAAGAATTTAGCAACATTTTCTGTGACATCCCAGGCAGATGTACAAAAATGAAACATCATATAAAACTAAATGATGATATGCCTATTAAACTCAAACCTTACCTAGTACCAACATACTGAGAGAAGAAATACAATCTAGAATACAATCTGGTAATTAAGTATACTATGCCCTTCAACATCTGCTAAAGTCAAAGTGTCTATCTTGCAACACCAAGATCAAAATATATAAAACACTGATAAGACCAGTTCTTTTATAGGGCTCTGAAACTTGGAGCACAACTAAAAGAGATGAAGCCTTATTATAGGTTTTTGAAAACAGTGTTACGACGAATCTTTGGACCCATCAAAGATACAAACAGCGGGGAGAATGGAGAGGGAGAAGCAACAATGAAATTCATAATCTGTTTAAATCACCCATGATGACTGGCATCATGAGAGCTAATAGACTGAAATGGCTGGGGCATATTGAGAGAATATCAGATGACAGGTAAAATCTGTACACACAAAGAAATTGAATGGTCACAGACCACGAGACAAACCAAGAAGATGATGGAGAGATAATATTCAGACAAACATACAAACCTTGATGTCACCAATTGCAGAGAGAAGGCCAACCAGAGAGATGAATGGAGGCAGGTAATATCTGCAGCTATAAATCTCAAGGGTTCAGAATGCTGAAGAAAAAGAAGAAAATGCTCTGATAATAGAAAACTTTAAAAAAAATATATGAATGGGTCTTGCTAGTCACACTTGCCATCCCCAGGGGTTGTGTTTCCCATGTCACCTTACACTACTATCATTTAGAAAGACGGATAGGTGCCAACAATTCAGCAATAGACAATAGTTATTTTTTTTTTTTTTGTTTTTGGAGAAAATAATCTGATTTCAGAAATGTTTAAACACCTGTGAGAAAATAGTCAAAGACTTCCAAATAAAGATTGTAAATATACCCAGCTGTGGTTCATTTTCACATAAGTTAACCCCCTTCTGTTTAAACAGGATTACCTCCTCATGGCAGAAGCAGCTCCCATTGCTGTGTGTATTCTTGTAAGGGTTAACATGTTAGCCATGGCAGCAACTCCTCGTCCTTCCTCTGATAACTGGAGAGAAAAAAAACTCACAAATACAATTAGCATTTCATTGAACTATAACTAGGGGATGGGGACAGGAGAGGAACAAGCATAGAAGCAAATGATCACTTGGACCGAAGCCTTTATCAACAAGCAATAATGATAAGGGCTTAGTTGAAGATGCAACATTTGTTTCTGTGCATTCCCATTCCTCTGTTGCACTAGTCCTAGTTCAGTAAATTACATTTTTTAAAAATACTAGCTAAACAGCAGTTACATCTTTTTTCATCCCAATCAAAAGTTTACATGTTCATTTTAATTGTTAACTTTTTGAAGGCATGACATCCAGAAAAGCTGACCTAGACAATATATGTTTGAAAAAGTCAGTTTAGAAGAAGCAAAATATCCTCTGAATATCACACACTGATACAATAAAGGTAAAGGTAAAGTCCGGAGATGTGAACCAGCGTCATTGCACACGGTTATAAACCATAAGTGCTCTGCCACCAGTAGGGACAGCTGATAAGAATTGCCTGCCTGTGTCGCTGTCCGCGCGTAACTCTGTAGCTCCAGCGAGTTTCCTCCATTTACCCCAGAGTGTCAACTCTGGTACCCATTTTCCAGAAGCTGGGTGAACCATGGGAACCGCCTGGTTTCGAACACCGGCCATGATCTACAGTGAGTTGTAGCTGGATTTGAAAGCAAGCCTCTTATTGACTGAGCTAATGCAGCCACCTACAAACTGATACAATGAGTAGGGGAAGTCCCATATTTTGTAAACAAAAGAGGGAAAGTCCAACATTATATAAACAACAGAGGGATAGTCCCAAATTATGTAATTAAAAAGGAAAAAGTGGTTAATCTCAGCTCACCAGAATCTTCAACTCTTACAAGAATCTTCTTGCGTTGTTTCCTCTATTTCTCTTTTAACAAATCATTCCAGATATCACAGCACAGTCCAGTTCATAACGTGCATGGAAAAAGATGAAGAAGAAAAAAGCAAATAAATTAGATCTTCAGTCTTACCCGATATGCCCTGGCACCATCAATAAGCAGCTCGGCTGTTGGCAACTGTTTGGTGCCGAGTTTATTTTTTAGTTTCAGCATCTGAATGTTGTTCATGGTTCCGTTATCATCTCGTAACTCCAGGTAGAAGAGAGTCAACCCTTTAGTTCCCTGTGAGAATAACAAGAAAAAGTTAGTTATCCTTTACAGGACGTTGCAGAACCAACACCAGCATTTTTTTATTGTTGTCGTTCTTCTAGGCTAATTTTACATTTAGTAGTTTGCCACAGCTTACTGAAAAGTCAGCGCTTAGTACCACTGTCAAAACCAACACAAGAGACAAAACGGTCTGTAGTTGGGATTGAACTTAGCACTACAAAGCAAGTTCACAATGCCTAAGCTACAGACACCTACAAATAACAAGAAGCAGGGCTTTTTTTCTGGACATACACAGTACTAGCACTTTTTTTAAAGGCATTACTTCTTTTTTAGTGCTACTGTGAAAGACCCTTTGTGGTGAGAATGGGCACCTTTTTTCTGTGCTACCAGTGCCAGACTCTGACATTTTCAAATTCTAAACTACATAAAATTAACACCTGTGAAATGAGATGCCTGAGAAAAGCCATTGACTTAACCATCTGAGACAAAGTTAGAAATTATATTATCAGACAGTCTGTAGGAACGACACCATGCAGCAAATTTATTAAGAAACGGAAGATCAAATGATCTGGTTATTTAGTAAGAATGTAGCCAGAACAACTACCAGTGCCGGCACTACACATGAAAAGATCTAAAGTGAAAGCAAGAGGCTGCCCTAGGAGAATATGGACTGATGACATTAAGAGCATCTCCATTATCATGAAATGACAAAAACTAATGCTGCCCATAAAACAATGGATCACAAACGATTCCTCCCCAGGACGCTAAATGACACAAATGGAAATTGATGATGATGAGTACTTGCACCTTTCTTTCCCAACACCTTGTAGTGATTACTCGTACCTCTCTTTCTAGAAAGAAAAAAGACAGTCCTGACAAGAAGACACACAAGTATGGACCTGATTGGTTGATTGACTGAAAAATTGCCAACTGCCAATTACTGCCTTTATTATACCACTTTTGTGGTGTAGGTGTGGACGGTGTCTTTGAGCCCGAGGATGTACGGCCACATAGCTAGTGGTGTCGCCACAGACTGTGCAGGTGAGGATTTTATTTTTGCCCCCGAGAGAAAAAAATCTCCAGCCTTACTGACGATTCGAACCCAGGTCTCCTGCATGAGAGCCCAGGGTTCTAACCATTCAGCCAGCCGCTCCTCTACGGAACAACTAACTTTTCAGTTTGTGGATTTCCTTGTGGGGGTTCTGGGGCCCCGCTGTCCCCTTAACAAGCATGTCATAAAAGGCAACTAATATTAAGAGTTTGCTGAAATCAGATGTGTTGGGCTGAAAGGTGCAGATATCACAGCCTAGCTGTAAATCATAAATACAACCTGCCAACCATATTTTTTTTTTACTCAGTCACAAAGAAAAGTCAGTTCTTCTTCTTCTTTTATCATCTCACCGATACCAGGTTGTAGCCATTGTGTGGTGCTTTTCTATATTTGTCTTGCACTTCTCAGGTGGCTTGAGTGATGGATTTGTTCATCTTTTTGCAGGTTTTAACTTCACCATTTATCCATCTCTTGGTTCTTTATTAATATCTTACCCCAGATGATGTCACAGGACAGTCCAACATTTTAGAGGGTAGTAAGACTAGGTTTCCCGGCTTTCTGATGCTTTAAATGACCCCAAAACATCTAGAACTGGCCCTAACCCCAACCCACCTACATCCCACAAGACAGTGCAGACTAGGTCTCATAACTGAATGCAGCCTAGAACCCATCCTCTGAAATATTAGACTGTCCTGTGGTTTCCCCTGTTTGGGGTAGGATATTAATAAAGCACCCATCTCTTTTTTGGTCTTCCTCTCGCCTTCCTCCCAGATGTACTGCTGTAAAGCCTCCCATGCAGTGTCCCACTTTCCCCTAATAAGCATGTTGTACAATGTAACTAATTGGGGATCTTTCCTTCCAAGTCAGAGTGCATCTGCCTCAGAGGCAAGGAACAACAGTCTGCATGCAAATAATCCAGATCCGTAAAACAGATGTGCATGCAAAACAGAAGTTCTAGAACAGTGGATCTCAACCTTCCTAATGCCACGATCCTTTAATAAAGTTTCCTTAAGTTATGCCGACCCTGAAACAATTATTTTCCTTCATAACTTCAATGAATATGTATTTTCCAGTGGTCTTAGGTGACCCCTGTGAAAGAGTCAAGAATGGCAGGTTGAGAACCGCTGTTCAAGAATAAGATCAAAGTCCAGAAATGGATGAACAACCAGTACTTTCAGCTGGAGTTTAAAGTCGATGAACATTAAGAATATAAGAAGAGACTTAGAGGAGTGGTTGGCCAAACAGCTAGACTGCTCAGCACTCAAGCCAGAGACTCAGGTTTGAATCCTAGGTAAGGTTTTAAGGTGTTTTGTAAGTCCAGTCCTGGTCAAAATAGTCAACCAAGCTTGTAAACAAGCTTGTGTATGCGTGTGTGTGTGTGCCCTTAATATAAAATAATAAACAATAAAACTAAAAAGTACATACCAAAAACAAAAAACGAAACAATTAAAGAATGATTATGTTTTTCTGTGTACGTTACCTCTAGTACAGTACCATCTTGACCAACAATCCGAGCTAGGGTCAAGGTCACGTCTGCGTCAGTGGCAGATGAGAACCACTTATAACCATACAGCTTGTAGGAGCCGTCTGGTCGGGCAACAGCAATGGTTTCTGTCCCTCCAGCTGAGTACAAAATAACAATAATAATTCAATTGTTATTATTATTTTAAAAACGAGAAAAGTTCTTAACAACTTTAAATAGTCAATGGGAGAGTTGGGGGGGGGGGGGGGGGGGGGGGGGGGGTGGGTCTCCATGCTGAAGTGGTCAAGCCATTTGCCTTATGTTCTAAAGGTTGTGGGTTCTTTTCCCATCTGTGGCATTTGGTCCACAAGTGCAAATTTTCAGAGATCCCTGGGGATCATCAACTGAGCTGTTAAGTTCAAGCTTTGTGTGGTGCTCTTGGCAGGATTCTTTTAGTTTACACACACAAATTATAAAAAAAATAAAGCGTTTAATTAACATATACAAAACTATATATATATATATTCGTGTAAGAAATTGAATGAACTAACACAATCTTTCTGAATCACACTGACACTGCAACATTTTTTCAAATCAGTTATCGAATCTGCATATTTATACATCCATTTTTTTTTACTTGGGACAAACATGACTAAATGAAATAATTTGGCAAAATTTTCTGATGAATGAAGCCTGAATAAGTCCTAACACTTGTGTTTTGGGAAGCAAGGTCCATGAAGAACCTCCACACACGTCTGGCACATGGTTCTACTCCTTTTCCTGCCTCCTAACATATTCTGGCTGCTTCTTCTTCTTATTCTTCTTAGCGTTCACCAGCTGTAAACTCCGGTGGAAGGTTCTGCTTGTTCATCCACTTTTAGACTGCAGTCCTATTCCAGAGCCTGAGTGTTGCGCATGCATCCGTTTTATGATCTGGCTCATTTGTGTGCAGACTGCTGGTTCCTTGCCTCTCAGGCAGATGCACTTTGAAGGAAGCTCCCAATTAGTCGAGTCTTACGACATGCTTTTAGGTAGGCAGTGGGTCTATTCTTCCCCCCCCCCCCCCATAATAGGACCCTAGAACCCACATGGAGACGATTTTGGTTGCTTTTATCCAACAGTCATTTTCACCATTGTTGGACACAGCTAACCACCCCAAAAAAAAAATAATTTAAAATTACAGAACGTAACAAACTTTTAAGAAAGCGACCACTGAATAGCTAATATGTGCAAGAAATGCAAGAAGTAATCTGATTAGCTGTTATGAAGACCAGCCAGCCAATCTCAAAACTTATATTACCAGGCCGACAAATTCGCCCATCTGTCTTTTTTTACTATTTTGCTGTTGGACCGATAGATCGGCCCAGTCGCCCCTAAAGGGTTAAACAGTCAATCATTATACACAGAAATAAATCATGGACAACCAGATGCTCCAAGTGAGCAAATAGAATTGACAAGGTTCAACAATAACAGTTGTCTTACCAACATCAGAGCCTCCCTGCTTCTCCGTCATCCACTGACCAGACGTCCAAAACAGCTTTGGGTCGCGACTCGTCAAACGAGTGAAGGCTCTTTCATACAGCGCCGGGAATTGGCTTTTGTACAGCTGACAATTATAGAAGAAAGATTATAGGATATTTCAAAATATTTTTTTGCTAAGTGCCTTGCCAGCTGGCGTAGGCATTCATGCGTCTACACAGATCTCGGTCTTTGGTGTTCTTCAATTGATGATATTTCTCCATGCTTTGGTCTTTAGGCATCCAAAATAATTTCTCTTGGTGTGCCTTTGCCTCTTCTACCGGTGATCTGTCCAGTCATGACAATATTTTCCAGTGCTCTTTTTCTCAACACCTGACCAAAGAACTATGTTTGTTTCCTGCTCTTTGTTGTATATAATGTTCTACATTCATAAGCTGTTTCGCCTCCCCCCGTGTGGGTTCCAGGGCCCCATTGTGGGGAAAACAAGAATAGACCCACTGCCTGCCCAAAAGCATGTCGTAAGAGTCGACTAATTGGGGAGCTTCCTTTGAAGTCGGAGTGCATCTGCCGGAGAGGCAAGGAACCAAAAATCTGTATTCAAGAGAATGAGATCTGTAAAACTGATGCACACGCAACACTCAGGTTCTGGAGCAGGACTGCAGTCCAGAAGTGGACGAGCAACCAGAACTTTCTGCAACAGTGTACAGCTGGTGATTGCGAAGAAGAAGAAGAAGATAAGCTGCTTCCAGGCAATCCCTGTTAGTTATTCTGGCTGTCCAGAAACACACATATACTATATACAGATATAGATATATATAGATACACATATCTTATATGACATCTTTAAATTCTCTTGTAGTTTACTGTGTCAAAATTAACTCTTTCAGTTCAGAAGATATGTTGAGATACGCTCAAGGAGGGACGTTAAATAACCATTTTAAAGCCATGACTGCGTCAATTTTACAGTGATTATGACTTAACAGTGCAGTGGAAGTGACCAGATGTTTTAGTGTGCTGTAAACCAAATGTTAAAAAAAAAAAACACACACACACACATAATGCAACGGTTGGGATTCATGTGGGTTTGTGATAAGTGGCCATCACACACCATGTGTTACTTGGGACTCAAAGAGTGAACTACAAATAGTGGAAGGTGCCTGTTTGTGTCTTGTTAATATAAGTGTTCCCAGGGAAAATACTTTTCCTCCTTGCTGTTGTTTGACTGGTCCGCCTCTCTTTTGATTTCTGCTTGTTTGCACACCATTGCTCACGTGGCATATTGTCTGTTGACAGCCTTGTTGATGACCAAATCATTTCACCTGTTGTTTTTATTATCAAATTTAGTGCTATTAACCTCACTCATTCGGCTACCCCATTTATCCATGTCTTTCTTGGTCTTCCTTTCACCTTCCTCCCAGATGTTCTGCTAAAAAAAACTCGCATGTGCAGCTTAGTCTGGCTTTTTTTATCTTAGCATTCATCAGCAGTAAACTCTAGCGCAAAGTTCTAGTTTATCCTCAGCTTCTAGACTGGTCTTGTCCAAGAATGCAAATTTTGCATGCCTATCCATTTTACAGGTTATTCTTACCTGTATGCAGACTGTTGGTTGCTCATCCTTCAGGCAGATGCACTCTGATTTCGAAGGAAACACCCATAAATAGTTGCCAGCTACAACATGCTTGTTTGGGGAGGGTGGGAGGGGATCTATTGCCCCCCCCCCTCCCCTTTCCCAAAATGAGACCCACACTGGGAGTTCAGACCAGGATTTCAATAAGCTGGATGAAAAAAAAACAACCATCATGTAATATCATCATTATCATCATCATTATCATCATCTTCCACTTTTTGCCGTTAAGCGTTGTGGGTAGGAACAGTTTGTGATCCATTAATTGATGGGCAGCACTGGCTTCTGTCATTCCGTGTCGATGTAAAAGCTCTTTAATGTCATCAATCCATCCTCTCCCACGGTGGCCTCTTGCTTTCGCTTCAGATCGTTGGTAGTTTATCTGGCTGCATTCTTACTTAATGATTAAACCATCTGATCTTCTGTTTCTCAATGTAATTTACAAGGTCCTGAAAAAAACATACCTCTAATGTTTTAGCTGCTCCATTTGTCATGGCAAGGGGGCAACCGTACAGACCACCCGATGGTTCAAACAGGTAGAATTTGGCGATCTGGTACAGACGGCTGTGAAAGGAAAAAACTTCAATAAAGATTTCTACCTGACCTAGATAAGGTACTCGCAGCAAGAGGAGCCTTTAAAGTAAGCAACATATATTACTCTTGACAACACCTTCATGAATACTGAGCACATAAGGCTAGATATATATTTTATAGACCAACCGGCACTCGGTGGGTGATGTGATCAACTCCGTGTTGCCAGCTTTACTTCCTAGGATAATAACTGGTACCCATTTAAGGCTGGGTCAACCTGGAAGGCAAGGTCATTTTTTTGTAAGAAGAAAAAGTCTGCTGCGTTGGATTTGAACCCATGAACTTTGGGTCTGCAGGTGAGCATCTAGCTGCTACCCCACAGTGGCCCCCTCCAAACATTAGGAAACTGTGAAAATCTAAAGAAATGAAATCTTCTATCAAAATTACATTTTTGGTTTTTTTTTATACATGAGTTTCAAGGCCAATGCAGCCTACAATGAGCATCAGAAAATGTCTACAGAAGTAAAGATGGTCACCACGGCGTTGACCTGATCATCGAAGACTTATACAGACAAACTGTCTGGGATGTACAGGAGTGTGTGGGAATGAAAGAGCAGAAGAAAGAGGATGCTGAGCAGAAGTAATAGCAGGAGGAGAAAAAGAAGAAGAAGAAAGAGGAGGAGGAAACATGGATGGGAAGGAAGAGGATGGAAAGGATGAGGAGAAGGAGAAGGAGGAGAAGAAAATGATAAATGCAACAAAAATAAGACGAAGGAGCATTACAGATATCAAAGTCCCTGAAAAAAGAGTTCAACTGACCTCCATTCACCAAACTTCCTCTCGTACCCACAAGCGATAAGACCTTCCTCAGCAGAGATCTCTTTCATCCTGCTCCATGCCGATGAGGTTATCAGCTTGTCCACTCTGTTTCCCCAAGCATCGATTTGTTCCAACTGACAAAACCAAATGATACGGTCATTACACTAGAATATATATTTTCTACTTATATGCCTTAACTCTTTGAGTCCCAAGAAACGCATCATACGTTCAGAGATTCCTACTTACAAGCCCAATGAACGCAAGATGCTCCGATTTTACATCTCTCTTGACTACCCCTTAGGCTTGTGATGCTAAACCTCACGGGACTCAAAGAGTTAATGAGGGCACTGGAAAAAAAAAAGGGGGAAGTGGGTGGGTGTCAAGACAGACATACATGGAGCAGACAGACAGGTAGGTAGGCAGACAGATACAGGGGTAAGAGACAAAATGAACAAGGAACAAACCTTTACTTTCAAAGGGTCACAAATTAGGCCCACTAGCCTGTCATATTTTGCCCCGGTTGCCACGCACGCACGAATGCACACACGCACATACATACTATTACACTCGCTCACACTGTCTTTCTGACATCTCATGCACATACACACACCCATGCACATACAGATGGAGAAGAAGAGAAGAAGATAGTGGGAGGAAGAAAGAGAAAGGAAAATCATGACCTTGCACAAAAGAAAGCCACCATCATACAAGGATGGAAGGTACAAGGTACAAGGATGGAACACCAAAGACAACAGCCACAACAACAACATGAAAAGTTCTGCTTACTCTGGGCTGCTCTGCTTCCATCTGTAGAGACAAGTCATAAATCTCCCCTGTCACTCAATCCCCTGCACAAACGAAAGCCACCCCCATACAAGGATGGAACATCAAAGACAACAGCCACAACAACAACATCATGAAGAGTTCTGCTTACTCTGGACTGCTCTGCTTCCATCTGTATAGACAAGTCATAAATCTCCCCTGTCACTCGATCCCCTGCACAAAAGAAAGCCACCCCCATACAAGGATGGAACACCAAAAACAGCCACAACAACAACATCATGAAGATTTCTGCTTACTCTGGGCTGCTCTGCTTCCATCTGTAGAGACAAGTCATAAATCTCCCCTGTCACTCACTTCCCTGCACAAAAGAAAGCCACCCCCATACAAGGATGGAACACCAAAGACAACAGCCACAACAACAACAATATGAAGAGTTCTGCTTACTCTGGGCTGCTCGGCTTCCATCTGTAGAGACAAGTCATAAATCTCCCCTGTCACTCAATCCCCTGCACAAAAGAAAGCCACCCCCATACAAGGATGGAACACCAACAACAGCCACAACAACAACATGAACAGTTCTGCCTACTCTGGGCTGCTTTGCTTCCATCTGTAGAGACAAGTCATAAATCTCCCCTGCCACTCAATCCCCTGCACAAAGAAAGCCACCCCCATACAAGGATGGAACACCAACAGCAGCCACAACAACAACATCATGAAGAGTTCTGCCTACTCTGGGCTGCTCTGCTTCCATCTGTAGAGACAAGTTATAAATCTCCCCTGTCACTTAATCCCCTGCACAAAAGAAAGCCACCCCCATACAAGGATGGAACACCAACAACAGCCACAACAACAACAACATGAAAAGTTCTGCTTACTCTGGGCTGCTCTGCTTCCATCTGTAGAGACAAGTCATAAATCTCCCCTGTCACTCAATCCCCTGCACAAAAGAAAGCCACCCCCATACAAGGATGGAACACCAACAACAGCCACAACAACAACAACATGAAAAGTTCTGCTTACTCTGGGCTGCTCTGCTTCCATCTGTAGAGACAAGTCATAAATCTCCCCTGACACTCACTCCCCTGCACAAAAGAAAGCCACCCCCATACAAGGATGGAACACCAAAGACAATAGCCACAACAACAACATCATGAAGAGTTCTGCTTACTCTGGGCTGCTCGGCTTCCATCTGTAGAGACAAGTCATAAATCTCCCCTGTCACTCACTCCCCTGCACAAAAGAAAGCCACCCCCATACAAGGATGGAACACCAAAGACAACAGCCACAACAACAACAATATGAAGAGTTCTGCTTACTCTGGGCTGCTCGGCTTCCATCTGTAGAGACAAGTCATAAATCTCCCCTGTCACTCACTCCCCTGCACAAAAGAAAGCCACCCCCATACAAGGATGGAACACCAAAGACAATAGCCACAACAACAACATCATGAAGAGTTCTGCTTACTCTGGGCTGCTCCTGCTTCCATCTGTAGAGAGACAAGTCATAAATCTCCCCCTGTCACTCACTCCCCTGCACAAAAGAAAGCCACCCCCATACAAGGATGGAAACACCAAAGACAACAGCCACAACAACAACAATAAAGAGTTCTGCTTACTCTGGGCTGCTCGGCCTTCCATCTGTAGAGACAAGTCATAAATCTCCCCTGTCACTCACTCCCCTGCACAAAAGAAAGCCACCCCCATACAAGGATGGAACACCAAAGACAACAGCCACAACAACAACATCATGAAGAGTTCTGCTTACTCTGGGCTGCTCTGCTTCCATCTGTAGAGACAAGTCATAAATCTCCCCTGTCACTCGATCCCCTGCACAAAAGAAAGCCACCCCCATACAAGGATGGAACACCAACAACAGCCACAACAACAACAACATGAAAAGTTCTGCTTACTCTGGGCTGCTCTGCTTCCATCTGTAGAGACAAGTCATAAATCTCCCCTGTCACTCAATCCCCTGCACAAAAGAAAGCTACCCCCATACAAGGATGGAAAACCAAAGACAACAGCCACAACAACAACATCATGAAGAGTTCAACTTACTCTGGGCTGCTCGGCTTCCATCTGTAGAGACAAGTCATAAATCTCCCCTGTCACTCACTCCCCTGCACAAAAGAAAGCCACCCCCATACAAGGATGGAACACCAACAACAGCCACAACAACAACATGAAAAGTTCAGCTTACTCTGGGCTGCTCTGCTTCCATCTGTAGAGACAAGTCATAAATCTCCCCTGCCACTCAATCCCCTGCACAAAGAAAGCCACCCCTATACAAGGATGGAACACCAACAGCAGCCACAACAACAACATCATGAAGAGTTCTGCCTACTCTGGGCTGCTCTGCTTCCATCTGTAGAGACAAGTTATAAATCTCCCCTGTCACTCGATCCCCTGCACAAAAGAAAGCCACCCCCATACAAGGATGGAACACCAACAACAGCCACAACAACAACAACATGAAAAGTTCTGCTTACTCTGGGCTGCTCTGCTTCCATCTGTAGAGACAAGTCATAAATCTCCCCTGTCACTCAATCCCCTGCACAAAAGAAAGCTACCCCCATACAAGGATGGAACACCAAAGACAACAGCCACAACAACAACATCATGAAGAGTTCTGCTTACTCTGGGCTGCTCTGCTTCCATCTGTAAAGACAAGTCATAAATCTCCCCTGCCACTCGACCACCAAACCTCTCAAGATCATGGGTTACTGTCAGCAAGTTCTAGAATAAATTAACAAGATGACATCATCAGCACAAGGAAATCATAATTTACTTAACTCTTCTCATCCCACAGATTTCACAGCAGATGTCCTATGTGACAACAACCACAATAAAGAATACACCCATGCTTTTATTTCTGAAATGCACATCACACTGTGCTGTGTGTTCAAATGCTAGCCAGATTTCCTTAGTGTACTCAGACCAAACATGACAGATATAATAACAAATAATGTGTTGTTTGATACACACGGGTAAAAGTTGATGACATGTGGTGTGTTACTTGAGGCAGAAAGAGTTAACATATAGCAAAGATGAGATGGTTTGGTCAATGCCCAATCATGCGTAACTGGATATTAATCATGTCAATACCAACTGCTAGAGAAAGCCATGCTGAAAGAATATAATGAACATAGAGCAATAGAAAGACCAGGCAGAAGATAGAATGACCATATAAAAAGAAATACAGAAATAAAGTGCTAAATACAACAAAAAATCTCTCTAGAAAACTCTCCCTGTGTGGGTCCTGGGGCCCCACTGTGGGGACAACAAGAATAGATCCATTGCCTACCCAAACAGCATGTCGTAAGAGTCAACCTGCTGGGAGTTTCTTTGAAGTTGGGTACAGACTGGTAGCTGTGTCCACTGGGGAAGGGGGGGGGGGGTACAGACTGGTAACTGTGTCCACTCGGGGGTACAGACTGGTAACTGTGTCCACTGGGGGGTACAGACTGGTAACTGTGTCCACTGGGGGGTACAGACTGGTAACTGTGTCCACTGGGGGTACAGACTGGTAACTGTGTCCACTGGAGGTACAGACTAGTAACTGTCCACTGGGGGTACAGACTGGTAACTGTGTCCACTGGGGGGTACAGACTGGTAACTGTGTCCACTGGGGGTACAGACTGGTAACTGTGTCCACTGGGGGTACAGACTGGTAACTGTGTCCGCTGGGGGTACAGACTAGTAACTGTGTCCACTGGGGGTACAGATTGGTAACTGTGTCCACTGGGGGGTACAGACTGGTAACTGTGTCCACTGGTGGGTACAGACTGGTAACTGTGTCCACTGGTGGGTACAGACTAGTAACTGTGTCCACTGGGGTTACAGACTGGTAACTGTGTCCACTGGGGGGTACAGACTGGTAACTGTGTCCACTGGGGGGTACAGACTGGTAACTGTGTCCACTGGGGGTACAGACTAGTAACTGTGTCCACTGGGGGTACAGACTGGTAACTGTGTCCACTGAGGGGTACAGACTGGTAACTGTGTCCACTGGGGGTACAGACTAGTAACTGTGTCCACTGGGGGTACAGACTGGTAACTGTGTCCACTGGGGGGTACAGACTGGTAACTGTGTCCACTGGGGGTACAGACTGGTAACTGTGTCCAGTGGGGGTACAGACTGGTAACTGTGTCCACTGGAGGGTACAGACTGGTAACTGTGTCCACTGGGGGTACAGACTGGTAACTGTGTCCACTGGGGGTACAGACTGGTAACTGTGTCCAGTGGGGGTACAGACTGGTAACTGTGTCCACTGGAGGGTACAGACTGGTAACTGTGTCCACTGGGGGTACAGACTGGTAACTGTGTCCACTGGGGGTACAGACTAGTAACTGTGTCCACTGGGGGTACAGACTGGTAACTGTGTCCACTGGGGGATACAGACTGGTAACTGTGCCCACTGCACCTGCCAGGTTTGTAATTTTGTGCCAGTTACACTACGATAAGAAAATGTGGTAGACAGGATAAGCCTCAAATATTATCTGAGTAGTCGTAGTCATAGTCAAGGCTTAAACCTCCCCGCAGTCGGGTCACCCTATACATACTCTGTTTTTTGTACCAGCTAAAATCTCAGTGCCAGGGAAAACAAGAATTGTCTCACTGCCTCTACAACAGGGATCTGATCAGGCAGTCAACAGCAACTTGTGACCCAACAGCATGCTGTTCTATGGGACTGATGATGATGGTGATGACCGTCATATCAATGAGGTACTACAAAGAGAGATGAGATGAGACCAGTATGCACCATCAGGATAGTTGTAAAGGTAAAAGTAAAGTCAGGAGATGTGAACCATCGCCATTGCACACGGTCATAAACTATAAGTGCTCTGCCACCTGTATGGAAAGCTGATAAGAAACTCTCCGCCCATGTCGCCGTCCTCACGAAACTCCGTAGCTACAGTGACGTTCCTCCATTTACCCTGGAATGTTAACTCTAGTACCCATTTTCTAGAAGCTGGGTGAACTCCGGGAACCGCCCGGTTTCGAACACCGGCCGTGGGCTACAGATGGATTTGAAAGTGAGTCTTCTATCAACTGCGCTAAGGCGGCCCAGATAGTTGTGCTAAACCCATTACACTACATAAAACAACAGTTACATACCTCTTTTGGAAGATGGCGCCTCAGATAGCTGACCAACAAACTATCCTGTAGATACTGATTGTGAAGTACTGGTCTGGCTTGAAAAAAGCTGCCCAGTCTGGCATGAGCAAAAGGTGCAGTTGCATGCCCACTTTTGTCTACTGGTGACTTCGCCTTATTGTCCGAGTCTTGGCTGGCTTGAGTCTGTTTCCGTCTACTGGTTGCCATTTTACAGGAACTTATTTGTGGCACTTGTCTTGTGATTGTTGACAGTCGAAGTCTACTGGGTTTCTTTCTGTATGCGGCAAGCATGTCACTGAGAATAAACCAGAACAAACTAATTTTACTTCTAAAGCGTTAACTTTTTCAGTCCCAAGCAAGGAACCATGCATAACTGGATATTAATCATGTCTATCCTCAACATTCCATGTATGTTTCTAATCTTATGTTTCTTAAGGATCTCTAGAGAGCTCTAACAATACATTTATCTCCTTCAGTGGGCGTGTAGCCTCAGGAGAAAGAGTATATTTATGAGTTTGGTATTGCCATTTGTTCTGCGATGGTCTTCTGGGATTGAAAGAGTCAAGTACCGGGTCCACTGGCCCGTCTTACATTCTTTCTTTTTTTTCTCATTTTTAGCATTCATTATTCCATTTATTCATTAGATAACAGACAATAATAAACACCATCTGACCAAAACATAATTAATAACTACTGCCCATGTTTACCACTTTTGCAGTGTAGGCAGGAGGGGGAGGTGTCTTTGAGTCTGAGGAGTTTGGGTCACATGGCTAGTGGTGATGCCACAAACTGCACAAGTAAGGATTGTACCCCCCCCCCCCCCACCCCCCAAAAATGGAATGAAGAAACCGACTGTGAGCCCTATGTGACACATAACTGCACAAAAAAACAATGAGTGTGGATAAAAAAAACTACAGTTTTATATCAGATTAAATCAGACAAGAGCGGCTCACTCACATTATGTACTGTAAATTAGAAATCAAGTGGTTTTTTATAATAATGCAGAGAAGATTATGGCAACAATACTAACGACACACATCACCTGTTATCGCGAAATTGTTTTACGAGTTTTACCTTTGGATTTTCTACTTTTTTTTTTTTTTTTACTCTTAAATTTAGGACGTTGCAGAACCACTTCCAGCGATGTTCGCCTGTTGTGGTTTTGGTTTTACTAGGCAAATTTTACGTTCAGTAAGTTTTTGTCTCTACATGTCATTAATATATATACTTAGCAAAAGTCGGAAAGCCTATACATGCTCTTTGTACTATACTGTATACCTGAAATGTTATCACATCTTTTTCGCCAGTAGAAGGATCAAAGTTCGCGACATGGATACAGAACCTCCCTCCTGGATGTAAGTTGTTATTGATACGGTGACTTTTGTTAGCAGACGGACCAAAAGTTTGTAGTGATTTAGAGTTGCCGCCCTTTGATAACATGATGATAGCAGTGCATAACGTATGCAGTAGTAGTAGTAGTAGTAGTAGTAGTAGCAGCAGCAGCAGCAGCAGTAGTAGTAGTAGTAGTAGTAGTAGAGAAGGAGGAGGGGCAGGAAACATAGTCTTTGAAGGATTCACAACCCGTCCCCTGTCCCTAGAATTTTTTTTAAAAGTTTATTTGTCTGTAAAAGTCTGTATACAATAAATGCGTGTCAGCTGTATTGTTCGTGTTATATTTACAAGCGTCTGCGGTGTGCGTATCTTTGTGCAGTAATATTTACAGAGCGTTGCTTCGTGTTTGTATTTATGTTGCATGTGTATGCGTCACTCTGCGAACATATAAACAAAGAGGCAAGAGGGGGCACGAAAACATAGCAGGCGGACAGGGCGGGGAACGGGGTGAGAGGAAGGAGACGGACAAGATAGACAGGGCCACTCATTATATCTACATTGCCTTTCGGTTAGCATCAAATGTTGTGAAAAGGTGAAACATTGAATATTTTACATTTCAAGCAATTTATGTAGGGGAAGAGGACACAAAAAGGACTTTACGAAACTGTATACTAACACCAGAGAACAGAAAAGGCAGTCCTGACAACAACCACAACAATGAAACACTTGGGATGACCCAGAACCGGACCCCGGCCAATTTACAATCATGAACATCTGGCAACTTGAGCCCCTGCAGTTTGACCCGGCCTTGAACTTGAGGGTCAGCAGTGTAGTGGTATTCTTCCTTGTTTACGTTTCCACGGTGCTGGAGTTTTGATCAGGATAAAATACAGCTGACGTAGAACAGCGGCTCCACGCTCGCCTGCAGATCCGAATGTCGTAGGTTCGAATCCGAACAGAGCCAGATTTTTTGTTTTTATTGACCTTGGCTCCTCGGTCGACTCCGCCTTAAATGGGTACCATGTAAAAGTCCTGGGAAGAAAAGGCGGACCGTGTGATGCTGATCCCATCACCCACCTAGAGCGGATTAGACTATAAAATATAGGTCTAGCCCTATATCTCTAAAACATCTGAAGGCTTTTTAGTGGGTCCTATGTATCAGCCAGCGGCGCTAGAAGCTGGGGGCACCCCTACCTCTGACAATTTGTAACCCGAACTATGGATGGACGTTATCTTGAGCATTTCAGGATCGTCGCCGGTGCTACAGAGCCTGTTCTCTGCGCTAAGCTTTCTTTGGGCTCAGACTTGAGGTAGAAGAAGAACGGAGCATTTATGGTTTACTACCCATGTGCCATGATGTTTTTACGTTGTTTTA